AATGTAATTGAAATATCCATTGAAAAATGGAAACAGAACTTTAAGACTGATTCTGATTTCTTTTTGTAGTATGGATTTATTAACACATGTTTGAAGTCTTTGATTATAGAAAAATTCGGAGAAGAAACATGGGAGAAACTGAGGTAATTTCTGACACTTCCCCTCAGCCATAAGAGTGTTTCGAATAGTGAATGTCCGCGCACATGTGAATACAAGTGATAATGGGAATAAACACAGGTTCCCTCGGCAGGTACTAGGGCTCAGACATAGACTCAGTATTAAACCTCAATGCAGAATCAAGTCACCTTTACATTGCAACATTTTAAAATGAAATATCAATCCACTTCAAAAAAATAAATGAAATATTCTATGTTGATCAGATTTCTGGTTATGGTTAATGCACGTATTCTTATAATTTGCAGGCACCATTTCTAAATGTACATGTATATTTACATCGCTTAAATCGATTAGTCTCTTATTTATGCTCGACGTTTAAGTTGTAGGTTACATGTTATGCTTACATTTAATAGATCCAATGGATGATTCATCTTAGTCCAAAGATATATGTAGCACTCACTTAGCATTCGCTCCCCTGTTGTAAAAGAAAACTTCAAAATAAATCGATTTTTTTCCATTGGGTCTTCACATTGATGTAAATGTTTATCACTTTGATGCGACGAGATGAATAAATTAAGGCAATTTTTTTTTTTGTTTTAATTGATTAGTGTGTGTTTAAAGGCACATGCAGCAGTAACTTACTATATTTGGGCGAGACCCCGGCCGCAGCCTGGTGTTTGCATGCTGTGCGTATAGCAGTGGGAAGATTTCAATTTAAAAGTCCAACAGGGGGAGCTCTTCAATACCTTGGTCGCTGTACAGCCGAGTGCTTTAATGTCCAACTTCGAAAAAAATGACAACTTTTAAAATACAGTAACAATTATGAGAGATTGATCTATCTTAATAAGAATTTACAGTGATTTAATATGATTTCATGTTTTAAAACAAATATAAATGTTTCAACAGAATCGCTGCTGAAGTCCCAGACACTTTTATGACATTTAAAATATATGCGGACGATAATACAATGAGACTGGTGGAAGAAGCTTGCAAATTGTTAGGTGGGTTTTCACGTTATAATTATCAATATTAATACATTGCATTTCTAACTTCATGTTGCATTCAAATTATTACTCAATTTAACCCATCTCCCCAAGAGTTCCACTTGACCTCGAGTATTTTCGGTCTTTAAGTGCAAAGGAATTATATGCAGTCAGAAGCACTGAGAATGCACTGGAGCACTGAGGTTGGACTCTTGTCTTGATTTACTTTCTTATCCTTACAATGTATTTTCATCCTAAAAAGTCTTGTTCACACTGCAAATGCAAGATAGTAAAATTTAGTGTAGTTTAACTTTTTCCTTTGTCTCTTTTAATTTCTCTCTTGGTCCAATATTTCTTTAACTCATTACGTTTTTCTTGTTGTACCTGATTGGACACTAAATTCACACATTCTAACTTAATTTTCCTTCTCAATCCTTGTATGTTAATTTCACAATCTTTCAGCCTTATTGGTGAAGGAGAAATTAAGGTGCTTTCATCTGTTCTGGAGATCTCCCCTCAACAACTTTCTGCCTTATAGGCCTCCAATCCTGCGTCCCAAAATCCACATACAGGAAAGGCCCATTGTTTCAGCCTGTTCCTGCTCCACTGAATTTATTTCTTCTTATCTTTACTCTTACATTGTCTCCTCTCATTCAGTCTCTTCCCATTTACATTGGAGATTTTTCCAATGCTTTATACTACTTCCACAATTTCTAGCTTTCAAGCTCCAGCTGCTTCATCATCACCATGGACATGCAATTCCTATACACATCCAATTCCTGCTTTGTTTACAGGAGGTTTGATCAGCATTCAATTCCCCCACCCTCCTTCACCTGGTTTAGCTCATTCTCACTTTGAACAATTTCTCTGTTGTCTCATTTTCTCCACATCAGAGATGTGTCCATGGGTACCTGCAAAGGTCCCATTTATGTCTGTCTCTGTTGGGTACATAAACATTCCTTGGTCCGGTCCTACTTGGTTGCCCTCCGACACGTTTTTCTACAGTACATTGATGGCATCATTCATGCTGCATTGTTTTCTTGTCCAGAATTAGAAAAGTTAATCAATTCTGTTTCTAATTTCCACCTTTCCCTGACCGTCACCTGACTTTACCCCTCTTTTTCTCTCTGTTTCCATTTCTGGTTGACCGCCAATATTCATGACAAACTCACTGACACCTTTTTTTATCAGCGATCACTCGGGTCAAGTATGATTGACCGCTATAAGGGCATTTATTTATGGGCCTTCAGACAACTGAAGAGGCCAATCCAGGATCCACAGCTTCTATTGCAGTGTGGGTAGTAATGGTGTTTGGAACGGGTGGTGGGTGGGCCTTCCTGACATTCTGTCTCTTTTTGCGTAAGAGTCACTTCTGTTCAGTGGCAGAGTGGAGATTGCTTTCATGGCGTATAGTTCCCTGCTGGATAATGTATCTCCAATGATTCCAGTTTGTAGCCATGTCCTCCCAGTTGTTGATGTTTATTTACCCTTTATTCATTTTAGGGATGAGGGTGGCATTGACCAGGCAGCATTTATTGCCCATCCCTAATTGGCCTGAAGGCAGTTCAGAGTCAACCACATTATTGTGGGTCTGGAGTCACTTGTGGGCCAGACCAGGTAAGGATGGCAGTTTCCTTCCCTAAAAGACATTTAGTGAACCAGATGGGTTTTTCCCAACAATCGGCAATAGATTCATGGTCATCATTAGATTCTTAATTCCAGATATTTTATCGAATTCAAATTCCACCATCTGCTGTGGCAGGATTTGAACCTGGGTCCTCAGAACATTATTTGGGTCTCTAGATTAACAGTCCAGTGATAATACCACTTGGCCATTGCCTCCCAAAACAGATGAAAAGCAGTTGTTGATGTTGATATGTAATTTCTTGAGGTTGGTCCAGATGTTATCTCTGAAGCATTCCTTTTGGCCATCAGGGGCATACTGAAGTTTTTTTATTCCAAAAAAATGTTTTATTCATAATAAATATCTTTGCATATATACATTGTCACCAAAGCAGTTTGGTTCTGTATGGTTGCATATCAAGTAAATAAACAAAACATTGGACTTTGACTCTATCCAAAAAAACCAAATACCTCTCTTACACATACAATACTAATATTTACATATATTTGAGGCACTAGGAGGGTCCAATAACTGAACGGACCCCCATTTACCTTCAATAGGAAGACCTCAGACAGTGGTCTTTCTGCACTGCATCTTGTTGATAGCTGCCCTAAGCTATAGTGTGTCCTTCAGCTCGTAGCTGGGAGTACATGATCTGTTTTGGGAGCATGAGTTGGGCATTCAGATGACATGGAGTTGCTGTTGAATTATGGTGGTGGTAATGCTGGCTATGTTGGCCTACTCCAAGATGCTGATGTTAGTGCATGTGTTTTCCCAGGTGATCCACATGATTGTTCATAGGGATCTCTGGTGGTGTTGCTCCAGTGCTTTAAGGTGCCTACTGTAGGGGTAGTCCACATTTCAGCTCCATATAGTAGTGTGGGAGAGACAACAGCTTTGTAGACCAGTAATTTAGTCTGGGCCTGTAGGTCATGGTCTTCAAACACCCTTCTTCTGAGTCAGGCGTAGGCTCCACTGGCACAGCTCAGACAGTTGACACTTAGTGACACCTACAGATACTATGACTATACTTCCTCACACCCTGGTCCTTGTAAGGACTGTCTTCCATTCTCCCAGTCTCTCTGTCTCTATCACACTTATTTCAATGATACCTCCATCCACAGAGGTGCCTCTGACTTGTCCTCCTTTTTTCTCAGTTGAGGATTCCACCCCATTGTGGTTGACAGGGGTCTCAGACATATCTAACCATTTCACACACTTGTTCCCTTCGCCCTCCCTCTCCCTCCCAGAATAATGATAGATTTTACCTTGATTGATTTTATCCCCAACCAACCTCCTGATTCAAAGGAGCATTTGATGCTATTTCCACCATCCCCACAAGATGTCCACCATCAAACACATCTTCCTCTCCCCACCACTGTCAGCATTCTGCAAAGAATGTTCTCTTCTTGACATTCTGGTCCATTTCTCCATCACTCCTGACACTTCCTCAGTGCCACTGCTCCCCACCCCCATGTCACCTTCCTATGCAATTGCAGTAGGTGTAACTGTTGCCCTTTTACTTGCTCCCTCCTCATTGTCCCAAAAACACCCTCTAGGTGAATCAGTGGTTTACTTGTACTTTGTTCAATCTATTTGCTATATTTACTGCTCACAATGTGTTCTACACTACATTGGTGAAACCAAATGCAGACTGGGTAACTGCTTTGCAGAATACCTCTGCTCTAGGCAAGCTGGAGGTACAGTACTTATTTTCACCTTAGGCACTTTATAGCCTTCAGGTCTCAACACTGGATTCAACAACTTTAGAGAATAAACACTGTCCTCTGTTTTTATTGCACCCCATCTCCCACACACACACACTTTGCTCTTAGCAAAGTTGACTTACTGTCTACTATTCATTCCTACTGTTACTATCTTTTTGCATCCATATTGCTGGTCTACTGCCAATAGCACTCGCTTTGTCTGTTGCTGTGGGCACCCTTGCCATCTGATCCACTCTCTCCTGTTGTCCTTTCGTCAACAGCTAAACAACCACCATTTTCCAGCCACGTTCAGTTCTGAGCAAGACTCAAAATGTTACCTCTGTTTCTCTGACCACAGATGCCCTCAAACCTGCAGTTTCTCCAGCACTTTTTGTTTTTTTTTAATATTTAAAATCTCTAGCATCTTCTGAACTTTGCTTTTAATTATGTTGCTTGCATGGTTCACTCAAACCATAGATACCTGGTTTTCCAGTTTGCAACATTGTCAGCTTATACTTTCAGCATTGTGCTGCCCAAAAGTTGTAAAAGCCTAAATATGCCGGGCAGGTACATTGAACAATGCTATTTATATAAACCACAGCAAATTAAAAAGTGAAATCATGATGAGTCCAGTTTGGATAACCCAAGAGTCCATTTGGCAAAATTGTCAACCATACCTGCAAGAAGAATAGGAAATCCAACAGAATGTTTTTCATGATTAACTGAAGTTCTGGACTGGTGACTCCAGATTAGCTGAACTTGTCATATGTCATATGTGACACGCTGAACTTGTCACATCGTGCCTAACAATTGAAGGGAGTTGGTCCACACTGGAGTGTGAAATAACAGGCATGTGATCCTCCTGTGTCTGTGGAGGATGCACAATACCCAGGAAAGTAGATTCAAAACTCTTTCATAGAGCTCTCTCTCTCTTGAGAGTTGGCAAGAGTTCTGTGAAAGCCTTTTAGAAGGCCCCAGGGACCCCAGAGAAAGGAAACACAACCTGAAGGGTGTTGATTAGCTTGGTAATACTGACAGACTGACACAGGCATGTGAAATGATCTCCACCACATCCTGAATGAGTATTCACCAAGACACATTTTGAATGTGATTGAAGCCAAATAATATTGACGTCTTTTACAAGACCGTGCTTTAATTTTTAAAGAAGAAACATGTAATGGGGGAAAGTGAAGCAAAGAACATATCACTGCTATGGTCTACATCAATGTGGATGGCACTTACATAGATGGCTGCAGCTCCTTGTGAGACGAAGGTCCAAGAAACCACATTGCTACGCACGCACTACGAGGTGAACCAATCAGTGTTGGTGACCTCCAACATTTTTTAAGACATGGATCAGGAAAGTGGACAATCCTATCAATAGAAGAAAAGGGAGATTCTCACCTTGATGACTCTGATAAGTCTGGTAACTGCCCAGCCACTCACCTGTGTTGAAACCTAGCTGAAACCACAAAGGCTGAAGAGATGCTTTGGGATTCCACGCTGCATCACAGACAAGGAAACCATGTTTGACTGCATTGATGACATAGTGGACAATATCATACTTGTCCAAAGACGGCACACCAAACGGAAAAAGATTACTGAGTTTTTCCAGTGATGACTACCAATGTTAATCAATGCTTTTAACTGTACAAGATCAGGCTATTATAACGTGTGAATAAATTGAAAAATAAAGACACCTACCACATATGTTCTGCTTCACTGTGATTGTTTTGCTTCACAGAACATGCTTCATAGAATCGTAGAATCCTTACAGTGTGGAAGCAGGCCATTTGGCCCATCAAGTCCACACTGACCCTCCAAAAAGCATCCCACACAAACCACTCCCCTCCCCAATCTATCCCTATAACCCTGCATTCACCTGTTATGGAAGGGAAGAATTTAGTCATTTAGCCCATTATGTCTACACAAACTCTCTGAATAACTGTTCTGATTTAGCACCATTCTCATGCCTTTCCCCCATATCTCTTGAATGATTCAATTGAATTTGTCTCTTCCATTTTTCTGGGCAATGGATTCCAGACTCAAACTTGCTGTTTTGAAAAGTTTTTTGCACATTGCATTCTGTTTTTTTTTCCAATTCACTTGTATTCTCTTGTTCCTGATTGTTTTATGAGGGAGAACAATTTCTCCCTATCTCATCGATCTGGATACCCCATGACTTTAAAAACCTTGATCAAATTTCTGCTTAGCCTTCTCCTCTCCAGGTTAAAAGTCCCAACTTCCCCAGACTTTCTTCCTAATTTCAATTTATGATCTCTGGAACCAGTCTTGGAACATCTTCTGCACTCTTTCCAATGCATTCACATCCTTCCTCATGTGTAGCCCAGAACTTTACACAATCCTCCAGTTGAGTTCTAAGTCGTGACTTATGCAGTTTTGGCATAGCTTTCTTGCTCTTGTTCTCCATATCCATATTATTAAAGCACAGGATATACTGTATGCTTTATTAATGAGTCTCTCATCTATCCTGACCCCTTTAATGAATTATATGTGCATTCACCCAGACCTGTCTGCTTCTGCACACCCTTTAGAGTAGAACCCTTTATTTTATCTTGTCTCTCCATGTTCTTTGTATCACCACACACTTCCTGCATTGAGCTTCATTAGCTACCCACTCCACTAACTTGTTTATGTCCTTAAGTAGTTTTACACTCTTCTCATTGTTTACAATGTTTCCAAGTTTTGTATCATTCACAACCTTGGAAATTGACCTCTGCACACTAATACCTAGATCATTAATGTAATTCAGAAAAAGCAAGGGTCCCATTACTAATGCCCGAGGATTCCACTGCAAACTGTCTTCCTGGCTGAAAAGTATCCATTAAACATTATTATGTTTCCTGTTACTTAGTCAATTTTGTATCCACATTGCTACTGATCTTGTATTCCATGAACTATAATTTTGCTCTCAAGTCTGTTATGCATCACTGCATCGAATGCCTTTTGGAAATCCACATTCGTCACATCAATTGCATTACTCTGATCCAGACTCTTTGTTACCTCTTTAAAAAAAAATCCAGCAAATTAATTAAACACAATTTTCCCTTAGGAAATTCATGCTGACACTTCCTAATCGACCCACATTTTTTCATATGACTATTAATTCTATCATAAATAATTGTTTCTAGAAGCTTCCCACTGCTGAAGTTAAACTGAATGGCCTGTAATTGCTGAGCTTATCCTTACAAATATACTTGAATGAAATTGTATTGTTTGCAAATCTCCAGTCTTCGACACCTCCCGAGTCTAGGGAAGAATGAAAGATTATAGTCAATGTCTCCACAATTTCTATTCTCTCTACCTTCGATATCCTTAGATGCATCTCCTCTGGACCTGATGCCTTGTCAACTTTAAGTACTGAAAGTTTATCCAAGACCACCTTCTTATCAATTCAGTACATTGTTTAAAGCTAAAAAAGAAACTTGCAGTGAGCAATTATTTAAGAATTAAAGACATTGGCTAAATGTTCACTATTTGAATTGCCGTCAAGCCTAAAATGTTCATTTTTCATTTGTACATTGTTCTTTGACAATGTCTATTTGTGCTACTATTGATGACACTGCCTTCAGCCACCTCACCCCTTCCTTATTAGGCTTCCTTTTTGAACATCTCACTCTTTCCGTCCCTCTCTAGTTTACAAAACCTTTTCACAAGTCATGCTTCTGACTAAACTTTTTGTCTCCTTTGGAAACTCTCCTATCATGTTTTTTTATTTAAAAGAAAGATGTTCCTTTATTTTACTTATTCACTGCACCTCCTACATCCTTTACGTGCCTTGGAATATATTCAGAATGAAAGTCACCATATAAAAGTCAGTTGTTGCCGAAAGTCTGTAATTTTTTGATCCCGGTAACATGTTTTTCTTGTGACCTCCAGATGTGGAGCCAGCTATGGTGTTACACCAATTTGGAGAGTATTTTTTTGAGTTTTGCAAGAGATCTGGATATGATCACATGCTCCGTACTCTGGGAGGTAACCTAATGGAGTTCATTGAGAACCTTGATGCATTACACAGTTACCTTTCATTATCCTATCAGGCAAGTTTAAATGAGTTTTCTGAGACTCTAGGGGTCTGTTGAACATTCTAAAAGTTTTTTATGCTGCAGTAAGTGGACAATTTACCAGAATTTTAACAACCTGTATTTAGCTGTAGATTCAGCTTTTCGTTTTAGAATAATAGGAAACATTGGCACTGCATGAGTAGATTCATTTGCAAAAAGCACTAAAATATCAGTAACACGCCAATGCTGTAAATGCAATTTCAATTCCTATGTGCAATTAATTTTTATTTTAGGATGTCATAATAAAGGCATTAGATTTGAATGTTCACCCTGCTTATAATTACCACAATGCAGCCTATATACTCTCTTATTGCTCTGAAAGTTTGGGGGAGGAAGGTAGTGTGCGTTTGTGTAAATGGGTTCCAAGGTGACATGCTGGATTCATGGATTGATTAGAGCAGCTATAGAGACCAGCATTTCCACTGAGGTCTATGTTGGCTGTCTGAAGAGCAGCTTATGCTGGCCAATAGAAGACTGGAACCAAGTTAATACTCTTTTGCAGATTCAACTATTCTATAATTCAGCTGGGCAGGTTTTGTATATCATAGGAAACTATTAATTAGTGGTTAACTAGTGTGGATTGCTGTTAGGAATTAGGGAGTGGGAGATGGCGAAAGCAAAACTAATTAAAGAGCTGTGATTTTTCATTCTTTGCTGTAGATAATATTGCAATCCAAAATTCTAATCATTTAAGGTGATAATTGCTAAACAAAAAAACATGAACCTAAAATAACAGGCAGAAAACTTTGAAAAGACTCAACAGGTCAGGTAGCTTTAATGCAATGTGAAACAGTTAAAATTTCAGGTTGATTATCTTTCAACAGAACTGGGAGAAGTTAGAAACGTGTGGGGTATTTAGGGAAAGGCACCAAAAGAAAGTCCATGATAGGGAGGAAAACGGGAGAGATAGGTGACAGAAGTGTTCACCTTGCATGAGCAAAGGGAATTGTGATGCAGTAGGAAAATAGGCAAAGGATGTGTCTATAGGAGATTCACAGCTGTCAGAAAGTGAAGATAAGAGAAAAAACTGGTGTAGCCAATACAAAAGAAAATAGTAAGAGGTACAGGGTGGAGGCAAAGGTTATGATCTGAAATTGTTGAACTCAGCTTTGGGTGTGGAAGACTGTAAACTGCCTACTCGAATGATGAGGTGTTTTACTTGAACTTATGATGAGTCTGGAAATGTGCAGTGGGCCAAGAACAGAGATGTCAGCATGAGAGCAAGTTAGGGAATTAAAATGACAGGCCAATGGGAGCCCAGAGTCAAACTTGCAGGCTGTGCGAAGCTGTTCTGTAATGCAGTCACCCAATCTGTGTCTTGTCTTCCTGATTTAGAGGAGACAACATTTTGAGCAGTGGATATGATATACTACATTGAAAGAATTGGTACCTACCCAACCTACCGACCACCATACCCACCTACCAACTCACCCACCTGATACCCTATACACCTGCCACGTCTCCCACCTGCCACGTCTCCCACCTGCCACGTCTCCCACCTGCTACGTCTCCCACCTGCCACCTCGCATCCACCTGTCACGTCTCCCACCTGCCACCTCGCATCCACCTGCCACGTCTCCCACCTGCCACGTCTCCCACCTGCCACGTCTCCCACCTGCCACCTCGCATCCACCTGCCACGTCTCCCACCTGCCATGTCTCCCACCTGCCACCTCGCATCCACCTGCCACCTTTCCCACCTGCTACGTTATCCACCTGCCCCGTCACCCACCTGCCTTGTCACCGATCTGCTGCCTCACCCACCTCCCACCATACCATTTACCAGCCCACCTAACTACCAGTTCACTCATCTTCCACCTCACCCATGTGCTGCCTCACCCACCGACACCTTACCCACCTAACACAGTACTCCCCTATCATCTCACCTACCTACCACCGTACACACTGATTCACCTGCCAATGTCCTCCCCTATCTAACACCTCATCCACACTAGCCTCTTACCTCATCCACCCTTCACACACCCAGTTAACTCACTCAACTACCCACTTTATCACCTGCCTATTCACTCACTCATCCTTTCACTCACTCATGCACTAACAGTCATACTATACGTTCAAATGTGCCATACAACATCTGGTGCCTAAAAAAGGGTTGAGTCCTTTCTGTTCTGCGAGTCTACTCTGCTTCAGAAGAACTCTCCGAGAGTAACAAAAACCGAAAGAACTGTGGATTCTGAGGAAGCGTTGCCAGATCCGAGACGTTAACTCTGATTTGTCTTCATAGATGCTGCCAGATCTGCTGAGCTTTTCCAGCAACTTCGGTTTTTGTCTCTGAGAGTATTGATCACCTCAGTTCAGGTAAAGCATAGAAGAGCAACGCCAAGCCAGCGGAAAGTTCAAGTGGAGTGGCAATCCAGTGATGATTTCTGCTACTCAGAAGGTTTCGGCCAAACTTAGCAAACAGCACCTCATCTTACCCTTAGGAACTTTACAGCCTTCATTCAATATGGAGTTCAACAATTACAAATCAGAATATTGTGAACCTACCATTTGTGCTTTTTTGTTAAACTGGTAACTCTTCTGTCGTCAATCTCTTGTGTTTTTCAGCCTATCGCAGACTTCCTTTTGTCTCTTACTCCTCCACCCTCCCTCGAAACCCATTCCATTTCTATCTCTCCCCAGTTCTGATGAAAGGTCATCAACCTGAAACATTAACTTTGTTTCTCTTTCCACAAATGTTGCTGAGTTTGCTGAATACTTCTAGCACTGTCTGTTTTTATTTCAGACTTCAGCATCTTCAGCTTCCTTGTTAGTGAAGCCAATCAGTGCTCCATACTGGTCAACTACATGGTTTTCATTGGTAAAACTATAGCAGTACATCAGTGCATGTTTGAGAGTTACTAAACCTTGGGTCTTTCTAAGCAATATCTAAGTTCTATAGACTTAGGCAGGTAAGGTGCGGCTGTATTGAAATATTGTGTGCATTACATATCAGGTAAAGAAATGTTATGTGGGTGTTTGCTCAATAGCTTGGCTTGGAGACTCCTAGGCATGGCAATGGATTTCTGCACATACCATAGCCAACTGATCAAAACAAATCCAAGTGGTTTATATCCAGGCAAATATAAAGAGTACAAACACAATATTTCTTGTCATTTACCAAGTTTAAGGGGAAGAAAGCATTTGATGTATCCTCCCTCTCTGAAAACTGAAGTCCATATGTCACTCCCATCCATAATTTCCCATCATATAATAACAAGAAGCTTTGTGTTAGAACTTTATCACAAAATTAAAAAAAAACAAAGCATTTTTAAGAAGATCTTAATTGGTAAATTAAACAAAAGCTATCTTGAAAGCTAAGTTATTACCTTTAGTAAGGTGGATGTACTGATTTATAGTCTTCTATTAACCAATGCAATCCAACAAAAGGTTCAATATTAGTATTTTATTCACATTATGCAGGAGATGAATGCACCATCCTTCAGGGTGGAAAAAAATGAAGACAATTCCATGCTACTGCATTATTATTCCGACAGGAGAGGACTGTGTCACATTGTCCCTGGTAAGAATGCGTAGATAAGATTACTTTTGTACTTTTATATAATTGTAATCCCTAAACACAGTGAGGAGATATTGGCAGAGGACAGAGAACTGTTAGCATTGTACCGTTGTTTACAATGGGAGTTAGAGACAAATCATGTAATTACAGGCCTGTCAGCTTAACATTGCTGGTAGATAGATTATTAGAAGAAATTCTGAGGAATAGTATAAATCACCATTAAAACAAATACATGGTTCAGTTTAAGGCAGTGAACATGGATTGTGATGAAACATGATTGAAAGTTTTGAGATGGTAACAGGAAGTGTCAGTTTGGGTAGTGTTTCATATCATATGTATAGCTTTTAACAAAGCTTTCTGCAAGGCCCTACAACACAGACTATCCAGAAACATAAGAGCCCATCAGATTCAAGCTCAAGTGGCAAGTTAGATCCAAAATTGACTCAGAAGATGGAAGCAAAGGCTGTTAGTTGTCAGGTGTTTTTGTGACTGGAAGGCTGTTTCCCATGAGGTTATGCAGAGCTCAATATTAGATCTTGTTCATATTTTATCCAAAAGATGTAAATATAGGGGGATTTATTAAGTATTGTGCAGATGAAGAAAATGTTCATTGCATAGTTGATAGAATGGAAGAATTCTGAACACTGCAGGGAAAATATCAATTAATTAGTCAGGAGGGCAGAAAAGTGACAAATGTAATTCAGTCTGAAAGTATGGGGTATGTCATTTTCGGAGGGCAAACAATCTGCACGTATATTAACATGGACAAATTTGTTGACCAGAATTGTACCTTGTACTCTAGTTGTGACCCAATTAATGTTTTATACCATTTTAACATAGATCTTTTAGTTTATGCTTCAACTAATAAAGCAAAGTATACCTTATGCTTTCTTAATCACTTATCTACCTGACCTGCTACCTGAAGGGATCTAGGGACATTCCTTCCAAGGACCCTCTGTTCCTCTGCGCTTTTCAATATATTGCCATTCATTATGAATTCCCTTGCCTTGGTATCATATTTATGTTCAGAAAACATAGACTATGGAATAAACTATGCTGTGGTTATACTGTTCAACCACCTTATTGGTTGAATGAAATTCTTTCGATTTATATTCATGCAGAAGGTAAGTACAATTAATGGAAACCATTTGTTTTGTGTATTTCATCCTTTCATTGAAAACTGTGATACTACATAAGATGCAAGACCACTCTGGGCATTGTATCAATTGTTTCTGTGTGACATGTTTCCTTAATATCTTCAAGACTAATAATCATTAATTAATTTGAAGCAATATTCAAAGTTGTGACCTCCTTTCAAGGCTCAGGCATACAAGATTTTCTTACCTTTGGTCTTAAAGCAATCCTATCACATTAAGGATTAAACTAATAGTCCTTCTCCATTGTATATGTTGTGTTTGGGTCCACTGGTACCATCTGAGATGCTTTGCGTAGATTCACTGCTACCAATTCTTATTATTGGTGTAAATCTAAGTCGCTGATGCCATATGGCGAAGTATATCAATAAGAAGTCTATGGCTGAATCTTTATAAACAGTGTAGGTTCATTACATTGTACTTGATTACTAGTTGCATTACATCTGAGTTGCATGATAGTCTCTTGTGAGAGTTCGGGCTAGACTTAAGGGTCGGTAAACATTATGATAAACAACATAGAACCGAGCACTTAGACTGGTCTTGCAACTTAGAACAACTAGTACTGAGAACTGGTTAGCTTCTACCTGGAGCAGTTCTTTATACCCTGTTGAGTGGAGCTTACCTGATGATATCAGTCAACACTTGCAGGTACTAACTGCCTCTTCAATACTCCACACTACATTCATTGTCAAGCGATTCTCTTGTGATTGGTAATTGGAATTGAATGCAGTTTTGAATGGTGCATTCTGACCAACATATTACACAGCTTCGGTATGATGATTTTAAATATGTGTTGTATGGTGCTGCCAGTGTAACTAGATATTCAGTTTGCCTTTGTAGTGTTCTTGATTTTCACAAAGCAACGAATGGGCAAGGTCATCACTGAGATTCTGTATTTCAAGATCCCTACCTGCTTTTCCTTTTAATGAGTAGTATCAAACTAACTAAACAAATGTATCCCCCATTTATTTTCTCCCAATGTCAAGACCTGCACTTAATTTTATCAGCCATAGTTATTCACATTTGTAAATATGTGCCTGTTTTTCATGATCACCGCTGACCTTGAAGAAAGCTGTCCAGAAGGATTTAATAATCTATGTGGCATGAATTGCTCCTTCTGTAATGTTTGTTTGAATCTGGCTGCAAACCAGAGTGGGATGGGTGGTGGAGGAGGCTCCAGATGGAGAGTAAAGAGGGTAAGCAGCCAATCACATTGAGCTGCTTTCAAAGACTGCAAATCAGGAAATAGAATGCCATGATTACACTTCACCTTTTACTACATGTTACAGAAAGCAAAATGGAGGAGGCTTACATACTCATAGGATGAAGGCAGAAGTTGAAATATCATAAACAAGCTCAAAGAAGAAGAAAGAGTATTATCCTCTTCCTGAGACAAGAAGACCATGATGGAAGGGCACCTGGCTTTGCCAGGATTGTCAGCTACCTGATGATGCAAGATCTCTGTTGACTGCATGCATGTGGTTCTACAGCATAGACTGTCAATGGGAAGGGGCCCTCCCCTTTTCCATTTGAGGGCCTGGGGTGGAGAGTGTGGCACTCGGCAGTCCCTTGCAATCGTAGACTAAGTTCACCGGGTGCCGGGCCACGTTTAGTTTTTGTAACCTGGAGGAAACGGTTTTTCATGTAAACATAGAATGTTTCCGTTTGCAACCCATTTTTAGTATTTTTTGAAGGCCCTGCTCCTTAACTTTTGGTTGCACTTCAGTCCCATGATCCTGATCTACAGGCACCCGGTGCGTGAAGGGGTGAACAAGTCGGGGGGAGGGGGGCGGCGGGTGCGGTGGCTTCTTGTGCGGTCTGCTCCTTGGCCTGGCCAAGGTGGCAATCAACAGTTCCAGACAGCAGGCTGAGGAGGGGCTCATCATTTGTGACTGTCTGTGCCTGTTTCATGGTTATATCTGTGCTCGGGTGCTCTTGCAGAGGGAGCACACATTACTCACTGGCATGAAGAGGCCTTTAGAGACTGGTGGGCACTACAGGCTGGGGTGCATCATCAATCTGGACAATGTCATTTTACTTTTGTAAGTTTATGTTTCGTTCTATAAATTTCTGCTGGACAGTTAAATTATGTTTTATTTCAATACAGTGCCCCAGCAGCAGCTGTTTCATTATTATTTTCAACCTCTTATTTGGATAAAAGAATTGAGGAAGCTTTACTGTGTATCTAACCGTGTGCTGTCCCTGGCCCAGGAGTGTTTGATGGAGATGGTGTTGCGGGAACTTTTCTTTTAGTTTAAAAGAGTCGAGGGAGCTTTGCTTTCCAGTTTCTTTTAGTTTAAAAGTAGAGACAGCTTTGCTCTGTATCTAATCCAGTGCTGTCCCGGTCCTGTGGGTATTTAACGTGGACAGTGTCAAAGGAGCTTTATTTTAAAGAGTAAGGGCTATTTTACTTTCAGATTAAAAGAGGGACCTTTCATCTATACCTAACCCCATGCCTGTTCTGGGAGTGTTTGATGGGTACAGTGTGGAGAAAGTTTTACTCTGTATCTAACCCTGTGCTGTCCTGTCGTGGGAGTGCTTGATGGAGACAGCATCAATGGGGCATGACTTACAGTTTTAAAAGAAGTAGAAGGTGCTTTATTTTCAGTTTACAGGAGTAGACTATCAATGGGGAGAAATTCAGATCTAGAGCTGGCATCCCCTCCAAAGTGCATATAGTGTCCAACCAAACCAAAAAGTTCATCTCAGTAAATCCCCACTACACTGCCAGCATCTGTGATGGCTTTATCCTGCAATAATCCATATATCAACTGTTTTTGTTCATCCAAGATGCAATACAGATGGTTGCCTGTGACAAGAGCAAACCGCTTCGTACACAGCTCATAATTTTATTACACCCTATCAAATCACAGCTTGAGATCAGAATGTCTTTAACGAAAGTAATGGAGTCACTGCAACACCATGGGCAATTGGACAGAGCAAGACGGACTTCTTTGGAGGCTTCTGTTTAATTGTAATAAATATCTACTCCCCCAACATGGAAACATTATCATATCTGTCAGCAACTCAAATGGGAATGCATGAAATCTTTCGGGTCCCCTAGGCCAATCAGAGAACTCTTTCTCTGTCTGGGAATATTGACTTATCACATTGGTCACAATGACAAACTTTGTATCCTTTCTGGAGTCCGAGTATGACTTTAGCTGGTGGTACCCCACTTTAAGTCCAACTAAGAAAACACCTTGCTTGTTGACAGCTCTTGGAGTACCTCATCTATAGCTGATATTAGGGTGGCATTCTATAAACACTGGCTTGTTCACTTGTCTCATGTAGATACATTGTCTTATGTCTCCATTTGCCTTGGGTGCTATTATTTCAATATATTACCACCCAATATATTAGACCTTCTATTCTTTCTCTGTCTTTCTTGGATTACTCCCATCTTGCCCTCTGGAGTATCTAAGCTTGTTCACTTGGTTTGAGTTTCAATCAACATTCCCTGGAGCTGAGTTGTCTAACCACTTTCATTGATTGGAATTGGGGGAGTTGGTTAGCTCACTTGGTTTAATGGTTGGTTTGTGCTGCTTGATGATACCAACAGCGAAGATTCAGTTCTCACTCTGTCTGAGGTCACCACGAAGATCCTGCCTTCTCAACCTCACCCCTTATCTGAGACATGACACTGTCAGGTTAAATTCACCATCACCCACCTCTCTAATCAGAGAGTGCACCCATGATCCTCTGGGACTACAGTGACTACAATTGCAGTTGACCCCAGGGGAGGCTATGGCTGAGTGGTATTATCACTAGGCTGTTAATCCAGAGACCCAGGCAACATTCTGGAGACCCGGGTTCAAATCCCAAAATGGCAGAGGGTGGAATTTGAAT